GCCTCACACACGAATCAGCCACGCTGGCGCACCTATTGTCACTGGCAATGCCCACCATAGGCACATAGCGACGCTATTAGTATAGTAGTGCAAGATCAGAGGAAGCTCTTCACAAGCCAGTGCCGAGTTAAATGCGGTCGCGGCGCTTAGGGTCACCTGAACACACAGGGATACCATTGAAGGGACGCGGGTTGCCCACCAGCCACATCAAGTAGATATAGCCCAGTGGATGCCGCAGCAGTCTCCACTGATCGGCCGAGACTTGGTCAACGAAAGCAGCACAAACTGCAGAGCATACAGGTCCTGTAACAATGACACAAGTACCTTTGCAGTGTCCATCCATCTCTACAGGCTGACTCCTCGTAAGGGAGAATGTATCGTGGAAATACCTGACTGCTATTCCCACCCTCCTCAAAAGCACGCCAACTGACCTCTGGCCGTCCAGGCGGGCCTGTACCGCCGCTATGCCCACAACAAAACTGCTGCAGATGTTGAACCTATCAATGCATCGGATCACTCCAGCAACGAAACTGCTCTGTTCCGATCAGCCGTATGGGTTGAATCGGATGGACTACTATTATTAATAATATTGTCAACATTATTAATTGTGCTCGACGATGAAGGCGTTAGAGTTCGATAGCATCATATCCCATTGTACAGCAAGGATCACTGGCCCTTACATGATTTCAGCGGCAACGATAATAAATAGAGTTTCCATCCAGACCGCCGAGTAGCGCACTAGAGTGCCAGCCCGACCAAAGATAGCCACTGGGGATTCACTGGTTCTATACCTATACATGGGCGAGTCGATACAAATCACTGGACATACCCACTCACACTGCAGGAAATATACCAAGACTGAGCCCCTGGCCGTGAACTGAGAATGCAACCTGACAACAGCTCCACCACGACCACAACAGAGCATCGCCCACTCACTGCAATCACTGAGGCCATAAGGACCACAACCAGAGGTAGCAGGAGTGACGAATGCCTCGGGTAACAGTAGCCTCGGGAGTAGAACGCCATGAGCCAGGTCCGAGCCTAGTAGTAAGCCGTGATGAGAATATCCTAGGTGTGCTGATACCGCACCTTCTCCTTAACTGCCAATGCTGATGATAATAGGGTTGCTTCCTCCACGTCCTCCAAAGACTCCATCACGAGCCGTATATCACTCTCAATCGACCTCTCCCTGCCTCGACTGAAGGCTGTGAGGAGGTGTGCCTCACTAGACCTGCAACAACAGGCTATCTCAACTCATACGGGCACACCTAGACTCACTGGCTCGCCAGACAGAGGGTGACCAAGATCCGCATACTGGCCGCTGCGACCAAAAATGCCGCAAGGGCCGGTCGATCAGTAATACAGCCCATCTGAGCACCATAGGGCTCCATCACGACTGTCCAGGGTAGCTGCCTCACCCATACAACTGATCCTATCAGTGCACTACACCGTAGTACCACTTCCGTATAGTGGACCACTCGGACCAACATACGACGATCCTCGATGCTATCAAGGCGGTCTTGTAAAGCTGAAGAGAGTTTATCAACCACTGAGTGGCTCCTTCGCATGAACCCATATGAAAATCATGGAATAGCCAGCGGGTGATCCCCATTGTGGAGATCCTCTCGCACGCCAGACTTACTCTCGTGAGGAGAAAAGAAGTCATCCATGTCTCCTGGGGGAACATAAACACTCGGAATTTTCACCTGAATGCACAGCACTTCCACCGTCTGCTCTTAGTCAAGTTAGGCAACTACGATGAAGTGACTCACTAGACTCTTGTGACCCCTGCCAACTCACAAAGATGTCCAGCCAAGTGATGTTCTTCATGGTAGCCACAGTGCAAAGGGAACTCAAGCTCATCTCGCCAGACTGTTTGTCCTCTAACCCTATTCTGGGTTTGTGCCGAGCCGTTGACGGTGCGCTGTCAGGCAGAAGTGTAGCGCTAGAACAGTTGAGACTAACCCTAAAGGGCGAACGCAAGTAGACGTCCTCACGCATGATTGAACGCTTACTCGAGTGGATCTCCCAGGCCCAAAAGACACCACACATCGGAAGGCCTCCTCCTATCGAGTGGTCCCCATACGACCAAGTGATAGAGGAGGAAGCAGCAGAGACCGAAGCAAGATAGACATGTAACCGTGATGAGGACCCCCCAGGTGAAGTCCACGGCAAATGAGTCAAAATTAACAAGATGCAAATAACGTAGTACCGCCAAACCTGATGGAGTTGGTCAAAACACTTCCTGGATGGTCGAGCACAACTCACGCTTCTCGCCTTCTATAGTACTCGGCCCGCTAGCTTTCCGCATCACATTCACTTTGAATTCCACGTACCTGTTAACGACATTGCAGCACCACACAGAGTAGTTGGAAATGGTCGATTTACTACCCGTCGTGAGACAGAGTTGACCCAATCTCGGGCTCCCAGATCATCTCAGCCAACTCGTCAGCATTGTTAATGAACTGTGTACTCTTTCGTAAGAGCAGCTGCAGGCAGTCTAAGGCGCCATGCCCCACTGCTTTCTCTAGAGGGGACCTCCGCCACCTGAGCGTAGCAAGCATCCCGATGATATTTGCCGGCCGCCTACCTCCAACCCTCAACTGGACTAGCACCAGCATCAACAAGTAGTGGTAGGATGTCACAACGGTGTGGTATGACCATGTACGCAGCTGTCTCCCCGCTCGCCGTCCGAGCATCGATATCAACGCCAGGATACTCCAAAAGCAATCGAACCTGACCACAGGCGAGGCGAAGTGAGAGGGACTGCTAGGTACCATAGCAGAAGGCCGCAGTAAAAGTGACAAGAAGAAAATTCTCCTTCATCAGCACACCCGAGGCAGAGCTCCCGATCAAAGTAGGGAGTCATTCCAGCTCACCGTATCTCGCTGCCCCATTGCCGCAGCCTCTTGAATGGCAGTCAGACCAGTGGAAGCATCTTCAGTGTTGAGGTCGAGGGTGCCACCCGTGTTGGAAATATCACGGGGTAAGCCCAGCCCGTCCCCTATTGCTGATAGAGTTGAACTTGTCAACGACCATTCCTGGAGGATTTCTGAATGAGCACCCATGTGCAGCCAAGGCATCGTCATTGGGTCTACCCTTGACATCATTGGTGCTCCTATTCTGCCTAATAGCACTCGCCAAGTCAGCACGGAAGTCTCTGGTCGGGATCTCATCGATCTCTATCTGACCACGTAGAGAGTCGAGATCACCCATCGTGATGAGGATACTCTATGGTAAAGGACTCACCAAGACAGTGGCCGGGGCTTCGATAACGATGGCTACTACAGAGCACATGACGCCAGCGATGATGAGATGGAGGTGGCATGCTACCTTCATAAGGACTGCTCTGAGCGATAGCAGTTTGGAAGTTCCAAGATTTCTTAATCTTGCATTCTTGCCAGTTCTTGAAACTTCGCAACGCAAGTAACGAGCAGCATTGGACTAGCAGCCTAGCACCACGATATTACTGGGTGGGGATTTGGGCGGGTATCGTTGTGTCTTCTGAAGGGAAAAGGGAGGTAACGCCAGTAAAGGTATTCCTTCAGCATTGAGGAACACCGCCACTGGCTGGTGAACTTCACGGAATGCATAGAGAGCTACTATTCGATGAACCTGATCTTGCTGTTGTCGCAGTTGTGAATCGTTTTCCGTTTCTTGTTACTACCAACTCCCGCGCTACCATGGACGACGAATATGACCATCTTTACAAAAGTACTACGGGCAGGCGGCCTGTGGGCTCAAAAATCAGCGTACCGCTCCTCGAATTACTCGCACATAACTTCGCTGACAATGTTCCATGAAATGGAAGAAGCAAGCGTCGTTACCACTTCAGTCGTCCTAGTCGGCGATGCTACCGTTGGCAAGACCCATCTCTTGTCCCGATATATCAAGGGTACACTACCCCGTGCCCCTACTGCAACGATAGGTGTGGAGTTCGCTACGAGGACGGTACCTCTTGCCGTTGGTGGCACGGTTAAAGCTCAGATTTGGTAATACATGGTCGCTGATCAGATTGACGACTTGTGAATCTCGCAGAGTAGAAATAGTGATGGTAGTAGCACCGTGGCAGTCACGGGTTGGAGTCTTGAACTCGGGTGAATCTATAGCAAATTTTCGTACGCGTTTCCTGTGCGACCTTCGTGTAGGGGTTACCGAAGGACTGCCCGTCGTACACCCTGCTAGTGTTGAAGTATATGATTGGTTTTCTCACTAAATTAACACACGATCTTAGGTAGACGTGTACCAACCTAACGATAATTTCCCAAAATTTCCTCGCAATTTCCATATTTGTACCAACACATGTGGTTGACCTGGTCAACTTGACCATGTGCATATATCCCCACACTGCTCCTTGCCGTCACCTGGAGTGGGAATATGGCGTATCAGGGACACAGCGGGCCAGGAGCGTTATCGAGCAATAACATCAGCACACTATCGCAGAGCAGTGGGTGCCTTATTGGTCTATGACGTTACCAGACGCAACACCTTCCTCAACTGCTCTAAATGGATGGTAACAGCGGCTTGTCCAGCTGAACTGTGGAGCCGAATTTGATATTGATCTCAGGAGGAACTTCGGCAGAATGCTGAGCCTGATATCGTCATACTGTTAGTCGGCAACAAGATCGATCTAGTGGAAAAGGATTCTTCTACGAGACAGGTGATAAGAAGAGGCACGTTCGAGACTTCAAGCGCCGCACTGGATCGGCCGTTATCCGTGGATGCTGTTATCACACGAATTACGTTTTTCTCTGTTCGAGCAGATAGATGATAGTTAGTAAAGTAGTATGGTACCGAATTGGTATTTGTCGGAGTTTTGGTATGAAACGAGAGTCTTAGCGGAGCGTTGTAGTTGCTTCCAGAAAATTTATTCTTTTTGAATGCGTGTGGGCTCCATATTGGAATCGTCTTGGTGTAGGTAACGACGGAGGAAGCCACGGTATTTGCGAAGCAGAGCGGTCTGTTCTTCGCTGAGGCCTCTGCAGTGTCGTCTGTGAATGTCAAATTCATATTCGAGAATCTCCTACAAGGTGATCGTGTCGCTCCTTTTCCACCGGAGTTGATCTCATCGTGTGATCAGAAATTTATAACCAGCGTAGTCGAGCCCAGGCCGAGGGGAAGTCTCAGCAGGAGCTTACAGCACAAGGAGGGATGAAGATCGCCCCTCATGAGCACGACCGTTATGCTAATAACTGCAACAATGAGCTTCCCACTTGCCAGTGTTGACGCTGTATTGTTGTTGCCTCTCGAGTGGAGGGGACATCCAGTTGGGGGCTGAGTATAGCGTAATGACCAATTCTCGCACTCCTACTCTGCGTTGTAGTTTCGTAAGGCTCTATGCAGCGAGGAGGAATGTGCCTAGTTACATCAGAGTGTCATATTTCTGCTACTACTTAGTTTTCTTATAGACCCTCGTGAGCTGAGTAGTGGTAGTGTCAATGAGGGGTTGAGTCGAAGGTAGAGCAGTGGGGAAAGGATTAATGGATTACGTTGTAGAGCTGTAGTGCTCGCGTAAAGCCAATGATGCACACTGAAGCCATCGGCCCGTTACCTCAAAGCGCGGACAGTAGGCGTAGCAGTAGTTCCTACCGAGGTGAGGCCGTGGGAGAGCTTGCAGAGTTATTGATGGTCGCAGGTGTTAGCCCGAAGAAATGCCCTTCCCCGACGCACCTTGCTAGAGTGCCCGGGTACGCCCCCGCCCAGGCCCCACCGTTTGGCTATGTCGAGCCAACTGTGAGTAACGACTCCTCGGCTCGGTACGCTGGCCACTCACTAGCTGTAAGCTGTGATGGTAGGTGGGCCACTGAGTGATGCGTCTTAGAGTCGGCAAGGTCTGCCGCCCCCGCCTGTGGATGCGCCTGTTTCCTTCCCGAAATCGGCGGACTTCCGATATGATGGAGAAACTGTGGAGCTCCCAGTGAGTGGCTTGTGGTATCTGGCATGATCGATATGCTTTCTATAGTCATTGGTAGCTGTGGATGTGATTAAGCATGTATACGAGAGTACTGTTGTTCGTACTAGGACTGTGAGGTACCTATGTCCAGTCGAGGCTCGAGAGTGGCTGCTGTCGGCCTACCTCCCGTGCTCGGCAGCATCAGTGGTGAGTTATGCTCGCCTGGTTGTGAACCTGAGTATTGCTTATACCCGCAGACCTCAGCGAGACGGCTTCTTATGGTTCGTCACCATCTAACTATGCAAGGTCGACAGAGGGCAGTCCATTGAAGCGCGTCGGTGGCCGTGGTTACCATCACCGACATGTGCCGTTCAGTGGGCCCTTGTACGGCATTTAGTGACTACCAGTAGTGGTGATCAGGCATGCCAATGGGAGATGCTCGTAGTTGCAATGCAGCTAGAGTTGATGCCGCTTCAATTCCGCGACCAACTGGCTTGTCGGAGCCGATTCGGCGTCGAGGGGGCCGCCGATTTGAGACCGACAAGACTGGGGTCAGCTATGATGGTAACCGCCAAGGAGTGAACCTGTCTTGTTGTTAGCGACCACCATCGGCCTGTAGCGTATACACAGCAATCGATAAGGGAAATGCGTCTTGCCGGTTCCTGAGGTCGACGACTTATACTGTATAGCAACTATAATCGAGCAGTAGGCTGCATCATGGTCTCAGCTCAGATACCTGCGTTACAGTCAGCAGTCAACAGCTCGGGTGTAGCTCTGGGCATCATAGCTCAGCCCTTTGCTGAGCTCTCTTGCGATGAGAAGGACGTGCCTCTCGTTAACTATGGAGAATCAGGGCCAATGAGATGCCCGCGATGTAAGTCAGCGACACGGTTGAAGTCTGGGCCCCTGTGGAGATCTTGGCTTTGGTGGTTGTCAGGTAGGGCCTATGCGAATCCTGCTTTCCAATGGATTGGTGGCGGCGAGGAATGCATTTGCAATTTCTGCAACTATGTGATGGAGGTCCCACAGGTGTGTGTGGTCATGTCCATCGATCTCGGCTGGTATCAACACGACTTGAGGTCGGTGTTCACAGACAACTCTGTGTGGAGGTTGACGACGCAATTTCGCAAACCATGGTTTATTCAACAACCACGTTTTGCCGAGATCTCGCCACGAGAGAATATGCAGATGTAACCCCTGGCACTGTACTAGTAGATACACCAGTGCCCTGTTCCGAGTATGCGGGAGAGGCCGGAGCTCCAGTTCGGGAGTGTAGACTATGTGGCGCCATCAGACTATCTACGTAGTCTTCTTCATTATAGTACCGGCTGCGACTAGCAGGCCTTCAGGTCCTGATGGTTCTTCGACAGAACGCCCACCGGGATTCTGCTTTGTCGTTGATAGTGGCTACTACAGTGTAGGGGGGACGGCAGGCTACATGAGCATTAGCTGCGCTCAGGTGGCATCAGGGATGTTCCATCAGATCATTGCTAGCATGCGGACACTGCTTCCTTACATGCCAACAGCGAGTGAAATATGCTTAGTAGCTTCGGGGCACTTTCAGTGTCTTTTAGGAGGGCTTTTACGAGTTTAGATACTCTTTGATGATGTTATTCATTGCTACCGTTTGAATTCTACGGATGAGGCTGAGGAGATTATTGTCGCTGATGTGGACGAACCTTTCCTCCCGATTCATGTGAGGCATTCCCTGTGGACGTCCGTCACACCGTTTTGTCAGTCGAGCGCCTTGTTTGTGAGTCCACATTCGAGGCAGGAGGCTATTCAGAGGCTGCTAGACTCGGTCGTACGAGAGGTCGAATCCAGTAGAAGTAAGTTCTCGGCGGTACTTCGGGCGCTCAGGCCCTCGAAGACTTTTATCAGGGCCTTCCGTGTCGTGTGGTTTTGCAGCGCTTCAAGTGGCCACGCAAGGATTGGGTATGCACGGTGGTGGAACTGTGTTGATGTTCTGTGGTCGGCCTCCAAGCCCCCATGGGTCACAGCATATCATACAGCTATAGGTACATATCCTGACGTTGGCATCAGTTGTGCGCAGCGGTCACGAAGTACGGTTTGGAGAGTAGCCCCAATGGTCTCCTTGGAAACCAGGTCCAACGGTGACGACCGATCGAAGTCCCGAGTGGAGGAAGGCTGAGTTGATGCCGAAGAACCCTAAGCTGTGGTCAGACCTCCTGGCGGAATGTGTGGCGAACGCTGTAAGTTTTCTTGCATGCCATTTGAAGTAGAGAACTGGCGTCAGGTGAGTGTCGACACGTTTACGGCTGTGGCATTTTCTCCGGTGGAGGAGGACCATGCTCGCCTGCCGACACTGTGCTACCTCGCGGCCAACACCGGGGGGAATATTCACGTTTATCGCTCTTTCACTGTTGAAGATGTGTGCTGACCTTGACTGGTGGAAGTCGGATGTGGCTCCTCAGGATGGAGAAGCTCTTCACTTCGACATAGCTCGAGCAGTAACTAAGGCAGCTGCATACGGATGTGTTGTCCAGGCCCGTGAGAGGGGTCCATGGCTTTATGTGTGCATCTATCCGCTCTAGCATGAGTTCAGCCAATCGTATAGTTTCGTATTCTGGAGAATGAACTGTAGTGGTCAGTAACCATCTCCATTAATGTGGCGCTAGAGGCAACCACTATCTTTCTAGGTGTTTCTCGAGGTCTGTGTATTGACCGGCATCTGAGCAGATGGTCTCAAACGGCTTCTAGACATCCCGCCGTGCCTGATCCTCGTGGAGGCTTCCTGGTACCTAGGATAGACTGTGATGCTGTTTTCGGGTACGCGAGGGTGGACGTCTAGTTGGAGGAGATTTCTTGTTAGCTCGTTCAGTCTGAATTCCCAGTCGCGTTACTTTTCCTTATGCGTAGAGTCTTCCTGCTGGTTGGTGAAGTGTTTGTTGTCAGATTCTCGATTTACGTGGATGAGGATCTCCCGGCGAGATATGCCTACTTCCAGCTGGCCGTGCTTCATCATAATGCAGAGGGAATCCGGTGAGGTCATCGTCTGGTCCAACTGATATGTGTTCTTATGTGAAACCTAGAGGTTGGGAGATGAGCTTTAAAGGCAACGTGGGAAAATATGTACATGGTTAACTACATGTGTCGGTGACAGTATGAATATTCTGAGAAAATTTCAGGGATTTTTTATTGGTTTCTGCACACTTCTACCCGAATCCGTATGTAAACTCCTATAATTAGCGAGGAAACACCTGATCTCAGCTGAGGAAAATGAAGAGCGGACAAAGGCATGAATAGCGTCATCAACGCAAGGGGATGGACTACTGTCATTAACACCATTGTCAACTTCTTCGTTACTGTACATACCAACGCAATTTTGTCGGTGATATTAGCAGACAAGACAATCTAATCAGTCCATTCAGGGACTTTACATTTGAATACTCTAACTATTTCATGATGAATAAAGTAACGAATTATCAAGCTGGAATAATAGTCTAACGCTATCGACTGTTGCCTCTTGTGGTATGCGTCACTGGAATGCGTGAGTTTTGTTTGCTCCAGGCTGTTGCGCGTGCATACGCTGCGACTTTCTGTGTCCACAAGTGTCTCGGCGGCGTATCGATCACCAGATGTTGAAACGTTGATTAACCTCCTGGCGCGGCAAGCGGCTGAGGAGATGCTTGTTACGGGACAGCCTCCAAGGGTGAGTATATTACCTTACTAGTGCGTGGTCCGGCCGATTTAATGAATGAAAATCATTTTGAGTACAGCTAAGGGTCGACTCACGCGTTACTCACTGATGCACTGCTCTAGGAGAAGCTGATCGGGCAGTGCACTGCGATATTGCATGGCTACAGGACCAGCTGTGCCTCCATGCCAACACAGAGAGGTCAGTGAATGAACAAGCCAAGATATTTGTTCCTTGCCTACGTCTTGACGTTCGCCCTTATTCGCAGATACACAGCTGTTATTACCAGAAACGTTGAAGTTGATGCCGCTCTACGTTGGAGGGTTACTCAAAGTACAGCATTCCGTCTGTGGTTCTATCGAGTTCGTCCGATGCAGTTGCCGGCATTCCGCCCTGTCGCAGATGTGCCGATGGATGAGCGCTACGAGTGCCTCATGAGCCTTCTGGGTTATAGTGTGTCTCAGTCGACGTACAGAGTCTATCCTAGACTGTATAGTCTCCATGATATGCCCGTAGGGAGGTTACATGCCGATGTGGGAATGCCGAACTTCAGGACGTTTGTGGTACTCCTACAGAAGTGGAGGACAACGTACACCTTCCCACAACTATGGCTGCATCTGCTGAGCAAGTAGGCATTGTAGCGGAGAGGACTTTCCGTTGACAGATCGGTTAGATATCGTCGAGAGGGATCTACCTCATCGACAACGCTGAAGTTTTACGACTATACGTGGGCTCCGCAGTCATTGAAGAAACTCTTCATGAGCTGTTTGGAGGGCGAGAGGTGAAAGATCTCAGTCATCCGGTAGCATCACTGGAGTAGTTTTGGCAATTTATTCATATCTCTGCAGATGGTCTCGCCCGAGACTAGCGACTTTGCATGCAAAGTCTGGTGTATTATTCAGCAAATCCGGAAGGATAAAGGATCTCATCCGTATTCATGGTTGCTCCTCTCTCATAGTATCGTCTGCACATCAGGTTTCAGCCAGTTCGGGTGGTCTTGCCCAATACTCGGGAGGAATCACGCTTGTTTGCAACTCTTAGTGAAGATAGAATTGGTGGCGAATTTAGCTATATAGATCTCCTTTGCCATGTAAGCTGTAGATCTATGGTGGAAGCGTATTGTGCATGCACATCTCATTCAGCGTAGAAGCATCTCGCTCTCTTGTCGTGTTCTGTATCCACTTTTGTTGATCGTAGATACACCGGCAGGTCAATAGTTGGAGATGACGATTAAATTGTCCTCAGTACACTACATGTTTTACCATGACCGCCACAGTGCTATTCATAGTCTCGAGTGGAAGTCTGTCTTTGAGTTCAGTCCTTTGCATCGTCGAACTGGATACTTCTACATATACCACACACTTGTCATCTCATCGAGCAGGAGATTCGGCAGTGTTGTACGAGATAACTTTTTTATTCGACCATGGTCCACATTTTCTGAGAGTGTCGACTATGGTCGAGTAAGAGAAATGAACTTGACTCTCATACCGGATACATTCAATCTTCTCGGCTTCGGATTTCCACTGGAAATCCCAGAATACTGAAATTTTCAGGCATCCTGGCTCTATAGAAGTACATCAAGTCATGTAACGTAATGTTCAGTAACGACATCCCTCATCATTGTCTAGATGAAAGCAATAGACCTTCATTACATGACCAATCTGGTATCGAATAGATTCTAATAGGTGTGTTTGAAACTGTTTACAGGGGTTACCTCTGTTCACACAAACGCAGCGTTTTAATGAAGCAGTAACATGATGCAGTGGGCAATCACACTAGTGCCGTCTGGGAACATAATTATAGAGCGCTTCACCGAAGTGTGCTATTTATGCTAGCACTTGCAACAGTGTGATTGGTACATGGACGATGAGAGACCGCCTTGTGAACGATCGCGTAAACGCATATGTTCGAGTGCAAGCCCATTGAGTCTTTCTCAAAACGATGCCCTCTAATCACGTGACTTGCATAGATGACGTAGTTGCGAACTACGATAACATCATATTTGACTGCGATGGTGTCATCTGGCAAGGTGGGCATCTGATACCCGGAGTTGACAAGTGTTTGAAGGCTTTAAACGATGCTGGCAAGGAGGTACGCATTGTTCGAGGACTTACCACTGGCCGCTAGTGTTGGACTATATGTTTGGTTTCCTCAACTGAGCTCAGGAGTTTCCTCGCTATATTTACACACGACGTAATGTGAGAGACTTCCTCAGAATTTCCTTGTCCTTGTCAGCGTCTGTAGTATCATCATGTGCATATTTTTCCACACTGCGAAACCCTCGGCACTACACGTTATTTTTGTTTCCCCCTTGTCAGAGTGCATTTATGACGAATACGAGCTCGAGGTCCCGAGCGGGCATGCGAGCAAAGTTCGGCGAAATGGGATTGGGTGAACTGTGCTCTGAGAAGATGATGTTTCCTTCTTGTTTTTACACAGCGAAGCTTATCCAGAGACGACACCCTCACGCTAGACGTGTGTAATGAGAGTCTTCGTTCTCTCCAGTGCCAACAGTTTTTCAGCTCGAAGTTTTCAGTTATGTCATTGGAGGTGAAGGCATAGTGGAAGAGCTCGAATCAGTAGGAATATCGTGTACCACAAATACCGGCCTTGCGTGTACCAACGGTTTTTCAACTCCTGTATAACACTCACGTCTAATCAGGCGGTGAGCCTTTGGGTGAGGAGAGGTTCAGAATAATAGCAGAGGAGATGGCACGAGAACTGAATTCGAAGATCGATGGAATCGTTGTTGGTTGGGACCTGGCGTTCTCATTCGAGAAAATCTGCAGGTGTATTATCTGCTAAACTGTTGACGGAGCTCTGACGTGTGCGTGCATACCATTGGTTTTGTGGTTTAGAGCTTCGCTGGCCTTCCAGATGGCTGGGGAGGAGTTCTTCTTCTACGCAACTAATGACGATTCGTTCGACAGGATGGGGCCTTGGAAGATCCCTGCTACTGTGAGTATTTTTCGAAAGAAGTTCTGTCGTCGTGTTGTGAGTCATAGATTGTTGGTCATCATCGTAGCTGCGATGAGGTAATCGTCCTGCAGATGTGCATCTGTCGCCTGTTGCTCCATTGATGTTGTGTCGTGTGATTGGGTTTTGTAACGATGCTAAGATGCCATGAGCATCATAGCAATGCTATAAGCAGATAAAATAGGCTTCTATATTATGTTATTGGATACATGCTACATAATGGCGTTGTTTTGTGCACCCCCTTTCCACGCTGTTGAGACTATCAGTCGGTTGCATTTCGTTATCAAACTGATTTGGAGATTCTGTGTGAGACCGCTCTTTGGTAGGGTGTCATCTTGGCTTCAATCAATGCAGCGGCGAGGTTCAGCGATCGACAAGATGCCCAAGTCCTTGGAAAGCCCAATCCCGAATTTGTACGTATATCTAGTATCCGCTGCAACCGTTTCTGCAACGCCATAGCGACTACGTCCGCCAGGCCCATCAGGTTACCTTTGCTTACGATATAGTTACGATTTGTCATGACTGAGCTGGACTTCGAGCCATCCCGGACGTTGGTCGTTGGAGACAGGCTCGACACAGATATCCTCATGGCCCAGCGTGCTGGTGTTGCCTCTTGCTTAGCTCTGTCGGGATGCTGCTCGAAAGCCGACCTGGAAACTAGTGAGAATGAACAAGTGATTTGTGGTATCACGCTCCGTTAGGTAGCGTGAAACCAGATTTCGTGATTGATAGTGTGGGGACTGCATGACTGTTGTTTTCCTCTGCCGAAGAGTGTTTCAAGTGTGTTCCCCCGGTTGTGCTTTGTGCAGTCCTTTTGGTTGATAGAACTGTGTACTTTCGGCCTATCGAGACTCTTGCGGTCATAATACACATGAAATTTGCGATTGCATTCATGGGAGGAACGTCATGGTGAGGTGTCACTAATAAGCCTACTGGGATAGTTCTATCAGTGGGGAGCTTGATTCTGAGTTGCCGTTACGTTTCCTCATAGATATTACATTCAGTCGTTATGGTCGAGATGAGCACTCAATCATCCTCGATAGAGGTGCCCCGTGGTGCTTCTACAGCTATCAGAGATATCCAACGAAGGTTCACTGAAACGGCCCCACCGGCAGCTTGCGGTCTCAGAGTCGCTCGAGCTGCCGGGCTCGTAGCTGAGACACTGCAGTGGAAGGGGGAAGGGTCGGAGCCGTTGAATGAGGGTGAGTCTTGTGTGTGATGTGTGTGTATTCTGGTATTCACGCCTACTTTTTCCAAATGTATGATTGGTTTAGAAATTTTTTTTACGTTCTACTAGTGGGTACTGAATAGATTCGTTTTCGGTCGGGCCTTGGAAACCTCCGATGCGGTTGAGTTGTTCATCTACAGTCGAATCTGAGAAGCTCAATGATCGACTACATGCACTCATACGACTAATACTCATCACTGCTAATTCTCTGTCCATTGACGTTGCCGAGGCGGCAGGGTTGAAAATGGCGAAAAACAAGGCGAAGTATCCTGCGGGTGAGGGCTCTGGTTAGCGGTCATGCATTGCGGTTCGCAGTGCGCATCATTTCAGATATCGTGAAGGGCTCCTCGGCTAAATATAACGAGTATGAATCCTATACTCCGAGGAAGTGTAGAGTTGGGAGAGCCCACGATGTGGAGACACTCGGGCAGGTGGCTGAAGAAATGGCGGAGTTCGCCAAGGACCGCGACTGGCTCCAGTATCACACGCCGAGGTAACGAGGGGTTTTTTCTCCGTGTACATATAGTCATTATTTGGCGATCAGAAATCTCACGTTGGCCCTGTGTGGTGAGGTTGGAGAACTCTGCGAGTTACTCGTTGAACGGGATGGCAGCAGCAAATGCTCGAACAATGACCCTGTGGCCGAGGAGATATCCGATTGTTTGTTGTGAGGCTCGGTATTGAAATGGAAGCTTAGCAAGAATTGTATTGTTCTCGTACATATACGTTGTCATCACCTGTGAACCGATTCCACTCACCGCTCGAGCGTGTGAGCACCTCACAGGTCTCATATGACCAGCGCTTTGGAGCATGGAAGCCCGTTATCCAGAGTTCTCAGGTACGCTGTTCGCATTGTTACGATATGCGGTTTGAGCCTAGACCTTGAGAAGTTGCTCGCCTACCAATAATGAGGAGTTTGCATGTTTTCTGGCATTGTGTTGGACCACTTAGAGGGAATCGTTGGCAGCCGCATTGACTCGATTTGGAATTCTTGTGGAATTCATGTCTTCAGCACTGAATAGACCTATTTTACGATACACACGGGGTGATGGAGGTTAGCAGTTCTCAAACCTGGTGGTTACACACTATTCCCCAGGGAGATATCAGACAGACGGGATGCTAGATACTTGCCGCTGTCCAAAGGAGCCTCAATGTTGATTTGCAACTGTCCAATCTATCACACTGGCTGGTCAAAGCTTGCTCGGATCTCATACTCGCGGCGAGGGATAGTTGGCCAGACCAGCTCGGTCTTACTCGATTGGATCAGCACTCGCCCTCCGCGGCGTTATCTTCGTCGTTGACACTAATGCTATTTCGCAGATCTGAGACTCGGGGAGACCTCGACATTGCTCCGATTTTCAAGTGAAGTACACTACATAGACCATTCTGAATTCGAGCCATTTGTTACCGTGCAGTCTTGTACTCTGTCGCATATAGGTGCCTCAGTCGAGAATATCATGTAAGACACTTTGGCCGAGTGGTTAAGGCGGCGGCCTGCTAAGCCGTTGGGCTCTGCCCGCGAGGGTTCGAATCCCTCAGGTGTCGTTTGCTCACGCTGACTGTATCTGAACTTCACATGTTCTCTCATTTATTCAACGTATCTCTTCAGTTTCTCCGCTTGCATGTCTTCCTGTTTCAGTCTCCTGCTTATTCGGTAGCAGTCATCTGCTTCGTATTCTACGTAGGTCAAGAGGCTTCAATATCATACGCGAGAATTCCGCTTACAGTAGGAGACCGCCTCGACCAAACCTACTACGAAGCAGACCTGATCGTGAAAACATCACTATGACACGACGTAGCATCATCCCTAATGACCACTGACTACTGTTGGAGTGAAGTACAAGTTGCACTCCACTCCAACAACGAAATTGTCATTTGGTTGGACTCCTGTCCTCCGATAAGCCTGTACTGCACAACGCGAGGCTTACACGGTCCCTCATCTGTGTGATTCGCATGGTGTGAGTATCCTAGATAAGCGTTCTACCGGGAGTCTCTTCAGTGGATACTTTTAATCGCATGACATCTAAATGGCTTGAGGTTCTGCTTCCCATTGCATTCTTGGCTGCTCGGATCGTTGCCAATATCGTCCAGCCACTCGAGCGGGTCGGAGAGCGCCTGGGAGTCCGGATGAAGATTGGAAATCCGGCTCAGGAAATGTTACTACTCGTAGACAGCATGGGCTCGGATACTGTCGTGGTAGTAGGGCCCATGGGTCTTTTTGTCATTGTTGCTCTAAAATACAATAGCCGGAGAATACTTCCGGATTTTCCAACGATGCTCTCCCCTTGGATTCAGGTCTCGTGTGGGTCTAAAGGCCGACAGGGCGCATGTTACAGAATCGATGCGAGCGATACTGTGGAGCCATGCAGGAACCCGGCAGAATGTTATGCTGACATACCGAACTTTGGCGATTTCTACGATTGTCAACCTAGCAGGGAAATGGACTGGCGTAAGGCCCGAAGTAATATGACGGTGGTGGAAATATGCGTCGACTGAGTACCGACGTACGACCGCTGAGGCACTTGGGACACCACAGAGAACTCTTAGTAAACGGTGCACTGTTCCTTCGTCTCGTTTGAGTCGGAATAGAATGGCAACAGTCTCCACTGTACGTGGCCCTGTAATTCTGTATCGATCAGAAACGGTTCATTACATCAATCTCGACGGCCCACGTTACTTCAAGTATGAGGGAATCGAGGTAGGCCATAGGCAATTGGAATAACCCCCAATTTTTCGCTTGGAGGCGACCCTCAGGTCAAGGAGCTGGCATCTATCAGTTCGAGCAATAAGAGCGCTTCTATACCACTCCGAGTGGCTCTGGATGGCACTGAGGGACTCAGTCGTGGTGTACTATAATGGGGACGGCATTCTGGGGCGAAGCAATGCTTCTGTCATCCACCAATATCAATTCCCATGGATCTTTCTCCTCTCCTCAAGGTATCAGTCAATGAGGATGTGGCTGGCGTGCTAGGGCTCGCAAGTAATAGTAGTCTCATATACACGGCTATGGATAGAGAGACTGCTATCAGAAACTGCCTTCACTTGCCGGAACGATTCCACCGTCGCTGACTTCTGCAGTCCTAAAGCTCCTCTGGCGGGAGTCACTCTCGACTTGTCCCAGTCGCGACTGATTCTGTGGGAGAAAGGAGCCCCGATAGCAAGTGTCTGGAGCGAGGGACTTCAAGACTCGGGTCCGCGACTTCCACGCTACCCTGGCTTCATGGTGTATGCTGTTCGCCTTGGTGGAGCGCCTGTGAACCTGTCTCAGTTACCACCCGACCATGTGCAACTTCGGGATGCTTACACCGGACATTAGCTCGAATTGGTTAGCTGTTGCAAGTAAGTGGTTGTGGTGAGGCTTTGAAGCCTCAAGAACGCCCGCCATGGGCACTGCAGGTACTTTGCATGAATGTTTGATCGTTCCCTCTGCTCTACTAGAAGCTCTCCTTGGGTGGGCGTCAAACCTTCACTGTAGCAGCAATCGGACCTGCACAGCGGATGGCCCATTGCCGACGCTGAGCTTTCGGTTGGCAGAGGATCCGTAGGAAGTCCTCCTGGCAAGGCATGTGATAAAGGCGCTCAGGTCTTCACCATCCTTCCATCTTCCTCTGGACGCATTACTTATGGAGGATAAGAAGAAAGTTTGCCTACAAAGCTTCAGCTCACCAGTGACCGGCGAGTTCACCAGCACGCCCATCATACTGGGAATGCGAGCACTGCGTGCTACGTTCGCCAACATAACCTGGGTTGGTAACGAAGTGGCGCTTGAAAGGTTGAGACCATCGAATGAGGCCGCCGCTAGTGCTCAGTTCGGATGCGCTCTGTTGCCCGTTTGCGTAGGGCAGCAACGGTACTGTACGACGACGAACTTCAAATCCATATGCCTGGACGTCAGTTACGACTCCCGGACTAACACGTGCGTCGATCCTGTGTGTTCTGCGTATGCTCTGATGGCCGTTGACGAAGAGAGCAAAACATGCGTGTGGTCCATCTGGGGTAGTATTAGTTCTCATGGGTTCGACTCTGTATACTCGTGTCTTGTGTCAGTACCCTACGTCTTCGGTATGCTAGTAGTGCTTCTGTCCGCTGGAGACATTCTTTCCCAGCGGTTATACCGGATATGTGTTCGTCTAGCTGCTCAGAAATCGCAGAGCTCACGTAGTTGACTGTAATATTCTAACACCTGCTTCCGGAGGTATCACTTACCGTTTGTTGTGTCAAGTGTTGAGCGTATGTGATTCTGATGGACCTTATTCTCACGGGAAAATAGGAGGTTCATGGTTGCGCAATAGTGCACGCCCCGGGGACAGTACTCAATCTTGAGCCTATCTAGAGTAGAATAAGCCTGTGAGGCCTCAGAAACGACAAGTTCTTGATCAAGCACAAGGTACAAACGACATGACGCACCGTCCAGTTTTTAAATAGAACTACTCCGGGCGGGACTTGAACCCGCAACCTTTGGATTAGAAGTCCAACGCTCTATCCAATTGAGCCACCGGAGCTGTATATTAGGTAGAGGCAACTCCGAGTTACTGTATTAATTGTGATGAGGATAAGCGCTCCTTCATCCAGACCAGTCGCAGAGAATGTGGAGTTCTCCAAGAAACGCCAATTGATCGGCTGAAACCGTCGTTGTTCAATGTTCCGATGAATTTCCGAGTCTACATTGAAAATATTCCCCAGACGCATTATCTCGTTTTCTCTCTCTCATGACACAGTTTAGGCCCTAAACTTCAGGGTTTGAAAAGTTGGCAGTCTATTTGGGGGAGTCTGCTTCAGCACGATCATTTTGGGTTAATTACCATAGTCGTAGTTTCATCCCTAAGGAGCTGGTTGTACCACGCCACTTCTCATCCGCCAACGTCACACTACTACCCTGGTCCAGGTGTGAGCTTGATAGATCGATCGTATGCTTTTGTGAAAGCTGAATTTCTATGAGCACTGTAGTGGGGTTTTCGACTCTTTGCCTGGCTCGAGTAACGATGACTGTCCCTGCCCCGATCCGCTTCTACCGCAGAGTCGAGCCCAAGCAGTCCGAGGTTGCCGGGGTCGTAGTCCTTCAGGGGGAGATATGTTTCAATGTTCAAGTAGTGCGGTTGGGGAATTGCATACTATGTAGAGATATGGCCAGGTACAGTCATTGCACTGGTACGCCGGTACAGGTGGGCTCACTGATGAGGAGGAGAGTCGTCTACTGTGGCTCCTTCAAGAGACTTTCCCTTGTACTGGCAGTGTCGTTACTAAGGAAACCTCTTTGCCGGCTACCAAGGATGACCATTCCACTGAAATCGTCGAGGTTGGTCCACGACAACAGTTTGTCACAGCTTGGTGCACTAACGCTGTGAGCATCTGCCTGTCTGCGGGTATTGCTAGTGTGGAACGCATTGAGAGTAAGAAGTAAGGATCCAGATCATCTATACTACTATCATGTCAGAGACAAGGCGGTACCTCATCCGAACGCCGTCATCTTCCGAAATACGAGAGAAGTTCTTGGCTGAGGTATTACCGTTTCCAGCAGAGGCCGATTGGGCTCGAAGTCAGACTGTGTGGAGATTCGTCTCATTAGATACCAGTTTGGTAAAATATTCACATGGTCAACCACATATGTTGGTGACAATATGAAATTTCTGAGGAAATTCTGGTTAATTCCTGTACATTTCAACTCTACTTTGTACATAAACTCCTAGGATTAGTGAGAAAACTCCTAGGGTCAGCTGAGGGAAGCGAACATATATCACAACACTGTTAGGTACACGATAGAATGACTGAAATGGAATACCCCGCAGACTCGGGCGGCTTCCTTTACGCGGAAGCTGCAGAGCCGGCTCCATGGGGTGAAGTGGATGTGATGTCAGAAGGGAAGGACGCTCTGAAAAAATTCAGTGGTGATGTTATTGGAGTGGCTTTGGGCTAATATGTAGAGTGTTGGTTTCAGATGAGCATGGTCTAGGGTACGATCCCCAGGATCTGGATTATTACACCAAGCTGTTTAGAGACGATCTCAAACGCAATCCTACCACTGTGAGTCAGTTCGGCCACTTACCCTCATCACCGTCATTGTATAATCAGGTCGAGTGCTTCGACTTGGCCCAGGGTAATAGTGAGCACTCCCGTCATTGGTTTTTCGGAGGGAAGCTCGTGGTGGATGGAGAGGAGGTTCCTCACACGCTGTTCCAACTCGTAAAGCACCCCTATAAACGAGTTCAGCAACGCGAGAAGGAGGGGGGTCGCCCCAATGCCTCTACAGTGGCGTTCAGCGACAACAGCTCAGCAATACGCGGAGCCGCCGGTGGCTTTACTGGTCTATTGCCTGACTTGACCACGGGGGAATTCTCGGAGGTCTCTCTTATCTACGATATAACCTTCACATGTGAAACCCATAATTTCCCATGTGGCGTGGCTCCGTTCCCGGGAGCTGAGACTGGCACTGGCGGGAGGCTGAGGGATGGGCAAAGTACTGGTCGAGGCAGTTTGGTGTTGGCGGGCACGGCGGCTTATTGTGTGGGTGCTCTTTACCTTGAAGACAGCGAACGTGAAGTGGACTGGGAGGACAGGTCGTGGAAGTATCCCGGCAACCTGGCTAAGCCGGTCGACATCCTCATACAAGCATCTAATGGTGCTAGCGATTACGGTAATAAGTTTGGGGAGCCTGTTATCAACGGATTTTGTCGGAGTTATGGTGCTGTGGTCGGAGGGGAGAGGATCGAATGGGTGAAGCCTATTATGATGAGTGGTGGTTTGGGTACTATGGACTGTCGTCACCGACTCAAGCAGCTACCGCCGATGCCAGGGGCGGCAATTGTCAAGTTGGGCGGACCTGCGTACCGTCTGGGGGTAGGGGGAGGGGCGGCTAGCTCGATGGTAGCGGGGGAGAATCAGGAGCATCTGGACTTCAATGCGGTCCAGCGTGGAGATGCTCAGATGCTGCAAAGAGTGAACAGGGTTATTCGTTACCTTGTCGAGATGGGTGGAAACAATCCGGTTTTGTCCATCCACGACCAAGGCGCTGGAGGGGCTGGTAACGTGCTGAAGGAGATTGGCGAGCCCACGGGTCTTGAAATCGACATGGGACATATGTTGACGGGCGACCCTAGTCTGTCGGCGTTGGAATTGTGGATAGCCGAGTACCAGGAGAACGACGCTTTGCTCTTGCCTGAGACTAAGCTGGGCCTATTTGCTGAGCTGTGTCGCCGTGAGGGTGCACCGTGGTCGAAGGTGGGCAGTGTGGTCACTACTGGGAGGTGTAGGGTAGTCGATAAGGAAGGGAAAGTACCAGTGGACCTGCCGTTGGACAAGGTGCTATGTAAGATGCCACAGAAGACGTTCCATCTCAACAAGCCGAGAATAGTTGAGCATCAGCTCGGTGGCTTTGGAGGGGACATAAAGCGGGCGCTGTGGAAGGTGAGCGCTCCACTGTCGAGTTGTGCATGCATCCTCCTTTCAGGTCATGCGCCTGGTTTCGGTCGGCTCGAAGAGGTTCCTATGTAACAAGGTGGATCGTTCAGTGACGGGTCTTATTGCCCAGCAGCAGTGTGTTGGGCCCTTTCATACGCCCCTGGCTGATGTGGCGGTCACCGCTACTTCCATGTTGAGTCTACAGGGCTCGGCGACTGCTATTGGGGAGCGGCCTATTGTGGGACTGTCTGGTGACGATTCGGCCTTGCGAGCTATGGCGAGGCTGGCGGTAGCAGAGGCTCTCACTAACTTGGTATGGGTGAAGGTGGAGAACATAGAGGATGTGAGATGCAGTGGGAACTGGATGTGGGCGGCTAAGTTGCCAGGGGAGGGGTATAAGATGTTCAAGGTGGCGGAGGCTATTGACGAGGTCATGTGTGGCCTTGGGATTGCCATTGATGGTGGGAAGGACTCTCTCAGTATGGCAGCCCAGTGCCCCAATAGAGAGGATGGACCACAGGGCCAACAGAAGGAGACGGTGAAGGTAGGTGGTGACGGGCCGAAGATGGGATTCGTCTGTCACCCTCGTTGCCAGGCACCTGGCGAGGTTGTCGTCTCGGTGTATGCGGCGATCTCTGATGTGACGGTTAAGGTCACCCCAGATGTGAAGCTGTCACCATCTGAATCAGTGCTACTGTTCGTGGACTTGGACACATGCCCGTCCCTCAAGGGAACCTCTCTGGCCCATGTTATGCTGCAGAGCGGCCATGTGGATGGGGAGGGGCGGATCAGCGATGTGGATGTGGATCAACTCCTTCATGCTTTCCTCGTTACACAGGTGATAGGACCATGGGGACTTCCTTTCCTTGAGCCTTGTCCCCTCCTCAGGACCTGATCGCCCGAGGTCTCATCTCAGCGGGCCATGACCGCTCTGATGGTGGGTTACTGGTCGCTGCGTGCGAGATGGTGATAGCTGGCGGTCATAGCGGTTACCTCCTCTCCATCGACGAGGCCAATATCCGTCCTGGTCCCGACGGCAGCCCTAATGTGATGGAGTATCTCTTTAGCGAAGGCCCTGGGTTGGTATTGGAAGTCGCCACGAGCAACGTGCCCACTGTGATATCGGCATATGGGGATAAGAGTAAATGTCGAGTATTGGGCAACGGTGTGAGTGGTAGCACGAGTATTGAGGTGGAGCTGAGGTCCAAGGGAGGGGCTCGAAGGCAGCTCATGAAGGAGAGCGTGGGGGATGTCCGACTGCAATGGGAGAAGACGAGCTTCAAGTTGGAGCAACTGCAAGCTGACATCAACTGCGTTAAACAAGAAAGAGGTGAAGTTATGGTATTGGTAGTAGTTACGGAAAGATGTTGTTTTTTTCAGAGGTAATGGCGTCCAGAAAAACAACACCTCCGTATCGACTCACCTTCGCTCCGCTGCCTCGTGCACCGGCATCAGCCCAGCGAAAGATACGCGTTGCCATAATCCGCGAGGAAGGCTCGAATGGTGACAGAGAGATGGCAGCGAGTTTTTGGAATGCCGTGCTCTCCCTGTTGATGTTATTATGAGCGACATCGCCACGGGCCGAGTCACATTACAAGGTAAGAAGCCTAGTGGAAGGCTGCTGTGATCAGCGGTGGTGTTTGAGAGTGGAATGTCCATCCTTGTTGGTGACTGCAGGATTCGCTGGGGTCGCCTTCGTGGGTGGTTTTTCGTATGGAGATGTACTGGACTCTGCCAAGGGGTGGGCGGCGAAGGCTACCTTCAACACTAGATGCCGCGATCAGCTGCAGAAGTTTTACGATGAAGAAGTAGGAGTAACAAGGGGACTTCGATACCTTACATTTTTCTGTCGTTCAGTGCACCTTCTCCCTCGGGGTTTGCAATGGCTGTCAGCTGATGAGTCTGCTGGGATGGGTGCCCGGCAAAACAGACAAAGGCCAGCTGCTTGAGCTCAGCCACCGCCCGAGGTGAGATCGTGTTTGTATTCATGTCAAGCTCATCATATTTCAGGTTCATTCACAATCGTTCGGGCCGCTATGAATCTCGTTTCGTCTCCGTCGCGCTAGATGCGGCATCACCCGCGACTGGTACATGGTTCCGGGGTATGGGAGGCAGCGTCCTTGGTGTGTGGGTGGCCCATGGGGAAGGCAGGGCTCTTTTTCCTGAAAGGGATGTCTACACCAAGGTAGTATGCCTCAGGTAGTTATCAATTCTCGACACTGCTGTATGTTTCAGGTTATCGAGTCTCATCTAGCGCCCCTGCGCTATGTTGATGATCAAGGTGCTCCCACATCGGTTTACCCCTTCAACCCGAATGGTTCTCTTGATGGGATTGCTGGGCTGGTGACCCCTGACGGTAGGCATCTCGCTATGATGCCACATCCTGAACGCTGCTCTATGACGTGGCAATGGCCGTGGATGCCGAGAGAGTGGAAGGGGATTAGGGGGAGCCCGTGGGCGACTATGTTCAGGAATATTGTCGAGTGGGCGGAGAGCAGAATGACTCCCGAGTTTGGCGGGAGTAGAGCTCCGGCATCGAATGTAGACGACATGGACCTTGACGTCGAGAAATTGAAGGCACTTTGAGCTGGTGTGCGGGGGTGGCAACGATTTGGATAGATTATGATTTCTATTAATTTGCTCGCAGTAGAATGTTTCGATGCCACTCAGAAACTTGAGTTCTATAGTTATGTGCACTGCTGAGAAGAGACGACAAATGACAAATGCCAACGACAGAAGTCGTCGGCCATTGACGAGGTCTGAACGCACGTGTGGATTACTCTCGATTCTGAAGCGTTGCAGACGGGCAGGCGTGTCTTGGGATGACAAGTTGTCATCGACAACTGCATCTATTGTACTTCGAATTATAGGGAGGGTAAATACAACCGCTATATGACAACGTATATGGCTATTAAATGCAATTTACAGCAGATTTCCTGTTAGAGGACATGTTATCCCGCCATTCACGCGTGATGAATGACATCTCTCACGGCGAGCAGTTATCAAAGACGGTATTTAATCGTTTTCCTCGCGTGACGAAGATTGAGACGCTTTCGGTGGGATAACACGTAAATCATTGTGATGGTTGTATAGCCTGTCAGTGCTCCCTTCCCGGGTTTGGCAACTCTACTCTCAATATTCCAATACAACAATAGAGACCATCATTTTACTATCCTGCAAGCATGCTACCATCGACTGAGGTCTCTCGAGCTCCACTGACGCCTGGTTGGCCAGACTTGGCGAGCATCACTGCCATTTTCGTGAGGAGAACTGTCGCTTGCTGCCGCATGATGGGATCTTCGCTATTGCGACTCAAAGCCAGCAACGCACGTTGCCCGCCGAGCATTTCGATGAGTTCAAGGTTGCTGTGATACCCGCATGCATCGAGGAAGAGCTTGGATACGAATCGAGATACGCCTGTGTGAGAAAACGCATACTGCTAAACGAGTTGACCCGAACCTACCTTCGTCGAGAAGGATTTTATCCCAGGATGAGCCCCTCGACCGCATCACAACCCGGTTGTGCACACCGTAATGCTTAACTATGTATTTAATCATGAACGCAATGAGATCCCTCCCGCCCTCCTCTACAAGCAGTGCACAGCCGTAGCCACAACTACTCCAAGACACCTCTATGATCCCCAGACCAAGTTTTATGCAGGAGAGTGTGAGAGAGCACAATTGCAGGAGACGGTGTCGCCGGTCGCATCGAAAGAGCTGAGATGTTCTTCCCACCACCCCTAGGGTTCGATCAGAGATGAGATCAATGTTGGCAATCGGGTTAGATCCCGCTCGTATGAATTGGGCCATGGAGATCGCTTTCAGTTGGGTTAGGGTCATCGCGACAGCAGGAGCGTGCGGTATGCAATTATATAAACCCAACCTGAAAGAATACGGTAGCCAGTCTTATCTCACGTTCGCTGTCGGCGTGTTCAGATCGAAACAGCGCTTAGCTGTTTCCGTTCGAGTCGTGTATGTTAGGCCAGTTGGAATTGGCATTCAAATATCACATGCAACTAGCCAGTGCGGCAAGTGTCTGCAGCTGCAGGTTGCTCTCGTCGGCCATCATCTTCCGTGCCTCTCCATCCACCTCTCCCATGAGGGCTAATGTACAAGTAGCTAAGGCCTCCAGTAGTAGAGGAGGCACAGGGAGGATACTATCCACATCTTGAGCAGTTCTGATTTGATTCAACTACAGCATGCTGATTCCGTTTATATTGAGCACCTGCGTCCTGACAGTCCTGGGTGTGCTTTCTCTGGTGGCCGCACACACACTGTGAGCATGTAGAGAAGCAAATCTCTAACCGTGCGATCGATAGGGTCATCAAGACAGGTCTCAGAATTAGTAAGATAATGGACGAAGATCCCATAAGGCATTTCAGCCACGAGTGGCTGACTATCATCCGGAGGGCTCTCGGTCATTATCTGGGTACTTCAAATGATGCAGCGGAACATGGAAAGGTGGCTCACAAGAAATGCCTCTTCCTTGATGCCGTAACCAGCAAGGATGCTAATCATCTCCTCAACGATGTGCCCGTAATTGCTGACGAATACACTGTTAATCGTCTCAGAGGTAACGGGGAGTCTGTGAAAAGGGGCAGCGATAATAGGAAGGGCCAGAAGGGCTGATTAGCACCACCTGATTGTCGAGATAATCGCAACCAGGGTCAAGATAGCTCCCTGTGTAAGAGAAGAATCGGATCTCAAGACCCGTAGAAGCTCCCGGATCGGGGACTTGACGGTACAGACCTCAACGAATGCGGCCAGGAAATGATTCTGATTGATAATCAGAGAAGCATGAGAATACACAGCATACTTCTCCTCTACGGGCATCCATCAGTACTGTTAATGCTGAGGCAAGTATACAACCTTGAACCATCGTGAGCTCATCATCGGAGGACATGCAGCGGACTATGATCCTGATAGAGGCTACAGAACAGAGGGATCTAGCATTCTCACCGAGCAAGCGAACCGAGTATCAGCTTTGGATATTGTGATGCTGCAATGAGAAGCCATTGCCCCGAAGGTTCAGCAGGAGAAGGCTCTAGAGGGCCACTCGACCCGATGACTACGCGGCGGGCTCTAAACGAGCATGTGATTCTATTCTACACTGAGGGTCATCATTCAATACACCTACCGTATGTCAGGAACGACATGCGGGGGCATAGAGAATAGCTTCAATGATGACATCGCGGAGACCTCTGGTCCTGTGACCGGGTCTTTGAACCCACCACTACTGACCAACACGGTGAGCAAGCGCAGGACAGCCCGGTCCCCATAAAGAGGATCGGGTTGCCGATCAATGGCGCTGAGTAAGCCCAGCATAACCTCGCCGGATAGTAAATGATCACACGCATGCCTGTGTGCAAGCAAATACCGCTCGACCTCTGATTGTGACATGGGATAGGAACGATAGTCATTTGGAAGGTTAGTTGGTACTTCAGTGTTGACCGACACATGAAGGGCGCTGATGAGTACAATCCGGATAGCCACCCTGAGGTCTTCAACACTCCAACAGTTAGCGGATGAAGTTGACGCTGCGATGATTCGATGCAGAGCAGAAGCAAGATTAGAGGCCGTAGCTGCATCGTGCAACATGGCCACCCAAATTGGCTTGTAACGCAGCAGGTTAGATAAGACCTGTAGAGCTCGGCCAGAGGTGAACGCCAGGAATCTGACTTCACCAACTGATCGAGTTTAATCCGCACGGGATCCTCACCTAGCGTTGCGCATGGTATCAGATGCTCTACCTTCTTCATAAAGACTCCCTCTCTTTGGTATGGTTGAGTAGAGGGGACATTGCGAACAGTCCAATAAGAGCCTCGATAGCTCCATTGATGTGTCTTCAGCAGATAATGGAGATTGACCTGACTCGACAACACCCGGTGAGGCCGAGGCCATCCCAGAGTTACCAATAACAAGTCTGTTGAGGACTCGTTCCCCGAGTTTGTCCTGGTCAAGGAGGTTGCACATGAGGACGAGTAGAAAAGTGAGCTCTTGATGGTGATGCTCCGCGTCCCAGTTTTCCACGTCAGACATGCGCTTCTCGACCTGTGAGCAGGGCCGAACGGCACGGAAACTGAACCTTGTCGGATCACCTCGATCTTATACTCTCTCATGACCACTAACAAGCGCTGATAGAGCGACCACATCACTGGAAGCGCGTTCACGTCTGTATTAGTAATGGTCACTATCATCGATGATGTCACCGACTGTTTCGCAACGTATCTACGCATGCTACATGAAGGCTAAATCTTGAAGCTGTACAGGCTTTGCTCATAGAGCTTGCCAGAAGCGATGAGTCGAGAGAGGGAGCACACCATGCTGGTCGTACGCGGATGCCTCAGTGAGAAGGGTCTCCTGGTTTTCTGGTATCCTGGCTATGGTAGCCAGACATCGACTGGCCAGACGGGAATGTATTCGATGAGGCCAATGACTGATCAACTGCAATAGGAAGTGGCCAAGACCAGGCCAGCTATCGAGGATCCTGAAACCAGACCATGCGTGGGCAAGCGGACGCAGGCTTGGATTAGATCATGTGGACACCGAAATGGCGAGGAGAGGGAAAGCACCTCCCTTACCTAGCTGACTTTTCCGGTGGTGTACGTCCGACACAGAGGAGAACTTGACCAAGAACGTGGAGGAAAGTTGTGGTAGCGCAAGGCGGCCAAGCTTCCATCAGTTTTTGAGATACCTCTAGCAAACCGTGATGACCTATGAGCCC